TCTTAACCCGTTAAATAAGAAAAAAGTAGGTTTGTCTGTAAAAATGCACAATTTTCTATTACCCGATTGATTCCGAGTAGAATAAGTATGATTCGTAAGACGCCAGTGGCTACATAGATGTTGACTAGGAAGGTGAAAAGAGTTGTTTTCAACCGTCCAGCTCCCTAGAGATTAGAACTGAGTGTCACTGCTTTCCACGTGTATGAGATGTTCACACAATCGTTCGATAAACAGGCTGCAAAGTGGCATCCGCGGTGCCACTAAACCTCGTCTGTTATCCAACACTAAGTGGCACAGCGGATATCACTTTGTAACCTGTTTCCCGGCGTCTCCATGAATTAATCTGTGGAGGCAACTATTCCTCATGCTGCGGAAAATCGTGCATCAATATAAAGGCAACCGGGGTAGAATACTTTATCCATATCGACGTGATACCCTACGGAAAACACAATACAAAATTATAGTCGTTTGTGGGATCATGGATCACTGTGACTGATTCTTATCACCACCAGCCTCATTCACTAAACTATCAGGATCGAACGAATACAATCCGGATGTGGAAAGATGCGCCGGGTTGATCAATGATACAATATGCGATGAAGCTCAATGGCGAAGGAAAACGTTCTAGGTGATAGAATGTTGCCACTGACATTTTGGATTGAATGTAACAGTCAGTCCGGAAATGACAAAGAAAAAAATGATTTCTGTTTTCTGGTGAATAAATTTGAGTTTTATCTTAGTGCTCAGGTGAAATACTGTTATTTATTTCATTGTCTCCATGAACCATTGTTAATTATCTTGCCAAGTGTGCAGTTCTCGCTGTCTGGAACAACATTTTCGTATCAGGGTTCCTTTGTTCCATGGGTGAGAACTTGATTAAGTGAAAGCACTATCTGGACCAAGTCTTCTTTCAGAAAATATATCGTTGAACAGAAGCCCAATTTTTACGGTCTACTGGGATATCAATGGCAGCTAACGAATTGACCTTCTCTACTTCACCGGTAAATTTCAAGTTGTGGTGTGCTGCGTCAAATTCGTCCAGCAATAGAGCCAAATCACCAGGCTGATTGAGGATGATAAATACTTTATCCACGTATCGTTTGTAGAATAACGTTTGCTTGAATGACTCGTCCAACAGTGTTGCAATCATAGCCATGAAAACATCAGCCAATATATGACCGAGGGGACCACCCATCGCCACACCGTCTGTCTGTCGAAATGCGATACCTTGAAACTGGAAGCGCCCGTTTTCAGTTCACAGTAAAATGAGGGGTTTCAATAGCAACGTAAGTATGCTAAGGATGGTGTTCTCTCGAGTGGTGAGGTCGCAGATGAAGTCTACGGTTTAGTGTAACGGACATTTGTGAATAATAGAGTGACAACAAACGGACACAATGTTTTATTAGAAAGATTCAAACTGAGCTAAGTATCACAAAGTTGAAAGGGGTCGCATTATGTGTGATTGACAAGGTGTTTGTGTACTGGCTGAAGGACGTCTACGAGCTACTGGGTTCGGCGTCATTCACAGATACTATGGGACGTAAAGGGATAGCTGGTTAATGCGTCTTTCGTTGCCCCTAAAGAATTGGTATATGACAATCCAGCTTCATTTGTGTCTCAATGAAGAAGATATGTAGCATGATAATTTGTAACTCACGTATTATCTGCTTCTCTGCAAATCGAACTTTATCCGGGGCTAGGCATGGTTTTGAACTTGTGTTTTTCACCCAGGATTCCCATCATTTTGCCAGCGTATTTGTTCCTTTCCATGACAACCACGTTCCCTGTCCCCTGTCAGGGATTAGCACCTACCTATTTGGATTGCTCCAGTTTCTTTCAGTATCCGGTAATCTTCCTGTTTCACCATACGATGTTGGTGAATGAGTTCGTAGAGAAAGCTGTGGGCGAGGTCAACCAGCTTGTCTTTAAAATAATTGCAATTATCTTCGTTAGATGGGATCAGGCCACCAAGTTGCTTATGGAAACACTCGACATGAATTTGATCGAAGTGCTTTGCAGGGCACTTGAAATTAAATCCGAAAGATGAAGCTCCCACTTGGGGTTTAAATAGGGCTGTGTTAGATAGATTTTTGACCAATGTTTGAGATTCTTTGGGAAAAGCATCATTCAGCGGTGATTTGCATGGAGAGTTTTATGACTTCATGTTTGTTGAGTTCACAGACCTTCGAATCACATCCGATGTGAACACAGAAAACTTGATACGGCAGACAATTGACAGATGATTAGTCATGATAGAGTTGTGATTATCGGTCGATATATTCTTCCAACTTGGATTGAATTGTGTCGACTTGGGATACTGTCAGGCGGCGGCAATCGGTATCATCACGATTTCGTATTTCGTTAATGTTTTGAAAGACCTCACAGGATCACCACTTGGTTGCATCAAAGCGTTTGCGAGCAAGCAATTGGATATTAAAACATTTACCAACATGACAATTGAGAGGGAAACGAGAACTAGTGAATCGACACATTTGAACGCTCTGCCATCTAAGAGTAGATCAGTATTAGACACACCACGGTTGTATACGGCGTTCCTGGGTTTGACACCAACAGCTGTACCATTTCCGTGTGGGTTTAAGTTGATGGTGTGCAGTAACGAGCGAAGCTGTAGGTAAAGCCGTACTGGCTTTGCCAAGATGGCTTTTAATCTGTTTGCCAACGTCCACACGTTTTACTCACAAATCCGTCTAGTTACATCTCCTCAAATATCATTGCCACTATCGATCATCCGACATGCACTTTTCGTTCGTTTCATTTCTTTGCTCACCCACAAATAAGGATTACCCCACTCCTCTTATTGTCACCCTTGTCCGTGACCATTATGTGGTGTGACACATCCTGCCCTCTGCTTATCGCATCGGCTGCCTCCTCCTATTCGGATTGGTTCTCTGTCTGCCTCATGCTACGCACCATCCCATATGCAAAGGTGCCCTCCGACGTTATTTCCCATATGGGTTATTCACTTGACGGAGTGATGAATTCCCTCGTTTGCACCATGGTTCTCGATTGGCATTGTTGATTTCGTCGTTTCAGGCATATACACTGGGAAAGTCACAGTTTGAGCTGTTAAAGTAACGATTAACAATCACACTACCGCATTGGTATTCACAATTGTTTGGAGACAAATTAACCTCTATAGAACATTTGGACTTGGTTTCTGAGGTTGCGCGTCACTCAGCGTTGGCCAAGATAGTTCTCTTGGTTTAACATTCAGCAATAGCAATCTGCCACGGTTTTCTGTTTGTACTTTCCTCAATGGTATGGGCAGGTATGACGAGATCATCGTGTTTCTCTTATCAACAGTAAATACGTATTTGGCTGTCATACTGTGATGTACATAACCGTGTTATCAACAAGCAACGTACAAAACGTTGCACACCAATTCGAAAACAAAGAGGAAACGATGGAAAATGTTCAAAGGAAAACGGATCTCGTTTTATTATCTTGATGTCAAATAAAGTCAACCATGTTCAAGATAATACCTGATCATTGAGAACGCATTGTAAGAGGTGACCTTCTGATGAATGCACAAACGACGTAAATGCAGGTACTTGAGGCGTTCCTACACACCAAAGTCCGTTTTTCAGTTTCAGACTCCACCTATAATCGAACGTTATAGATAATAAGGGTATTTGTCTGCTTAGCTTGAACGCCTCGCTGGTGCACAAACGCTTACATACACAGTCTTATTTGAATCCTTGCACTGGTGTGTGCATCTCTGCATCAACTGTAACGCGGCTAGCAATGGGGTTTTCTAGGGACATCCTAGCGAAATCGGTAAAAAAGTCAATCGATACTAGATGGGGAGATGGTGACTGCTACAGAACGACATACTATGGGTTCCTTAGATTCGGGGTCGGAATGAATAGCCGTCCGCTGCGCAATCAAGCGTTTCACTAATGTAAATAAGCATACGCAGAGGGTCGTGTAACTAAAATGTCAACTTCGCTCTGGAGGTTGATTTAATCATTCGGTAGATCTTCGTAGCCAAGGTACTATGCTTGGCATGCTTGAACATTGCGCTTGTAAGCCCGCATTGACTATAATGGATGAATAATAAAGTTGAATTTTATTCCCACAACGACGAGAACGTCACTAATGATGAAATGTGTGAAGCCAACCACGGAAGCGGATAGTGCCATTGATGTTCGTGCTTGCCTTATAAAGGGGTTTTATGTTGCAATCGATGACGGATCGCTTTCGTTTTAGTTGAGGATGAATGAACACCACAGCAAGTGACCTCGGTCGGTCGGGTAGGAAATGCAATTCGCAGTATAATGAACCAATAATCCGTGAACGGACGTGCATGTGAACTTGGATTGCACTCAGGAAGCCGATCGAGGTAGGCAATTTAGTTAATTTAATTATTTGAAAACATATCTTTTTCAACTTTACTTTTTTTAGTTAAATATACAAGAATACAATTTTCAAGGAGGAGAGAAGTGGCCAGTAAAAACGCCTACATTCAACACACAATGGAGGAAAACCACCGGTTGTGATGGCATTCAAGCACACATTCCCTTGTTGATAAGTTGGTGACTTTAACACCGGGCCACCACTATCTTACAAACTAAAAATCAACTAAAGACGTTTCACCTGAAAGAAAACTAGGATTTGTGATAAACTGCTATAGCTTTTATTATTTCCAATCCAATACAACATAGCTTCCTGTGTATTATTGAATAGCTAGCTAAATAAGTTATGTTGCCTTCCACTTTTCATAAACGGCGATAAAAACATTTATGTATCGAAGATTCTCATTTTATCTCCACTTGTTCTTGTGCGATCACCGCCAGTTTTCGGAATCTAGACGACATCGAAATGGGAAACCGAAATATGCATTTTTATCAAATTGCATGAAAATGTTTCGCCAAACAAAGATTAGCGCCGCGGAAAAATTATTGAAACCCTGTCATCTCTACCCTTTACAAGAACCGGATGAAACGTGGTAGGATTTTGAATCATATCCGCGTCATTATTGTTTCACAATCCAATGAAGAATACTGCCACTTTTTGTTATATGGTGCAAACTTGCTGGGTCTGTGGTGCATCTTTCTGCTAAAAATAGAGCACCTCATAATGTACATCACTAGTAATCAAAGTGACACTTTTAGGTATTTTTCGCTAGCGTAGTAATAATGTAACGGGTCTTGGATTCGTAATCGTAGTCGTATCAGTAGTAGTCTGTCAATTCCAGACGACGGTGCTGGTCAGGGATAATCCTTTATTGAGGATGTCGGATGGGAGAACAGCAATGCAGCATACGTAACACAAAAATCTGATCAGACACATACCGCCGTAGAACCCGTCCACATGACGTGTCATGAATAAATAAATCGATGGTTTTTTTCTGAGACACAACAAATTGCAGTCAAAGATCTTGTTGATTTTCGATCGTAATTACCAACTATGTTACCTTCTGTTCACAAGTGAGTGGTATCTCTCAACAGTAGTAGTATTAGTAAGTAGTAGTAGTAGCATTGGATTTATTTCGGAGCAACTCGTTTCTCCTTCCTGATCTGAAGTGACCTTAAATGTCGTTGTAAGATTAAGTTTTGTGTGTTTTTATGCAACGCTGGGATTCCCGTCAGTAGGATTTCATCGAGGGAATTCTTATTTATTTATAGCTGTCTGTTTTAATGTGCTCCGAATGACTGGAAACCGACCGGTATAACCAAATTAATTTAGTTTTTCGAAAGAGCGATGCACATGGTGACGTAAAGGAGGAAACGCTTAGTAAGGTTCGATGTAGTAGTTACTTTACATTTGTAATTGATCATGCAAATTTTTGTGTGGATGACACACAATCATGTTAATCCGAAACAGAAAATTCAATAATTGGGTACACAGTGATATTAGGAGGTTCTCCAGACTCTGCTCAGTTCATGGATTACAAAAGATAATCCCCAGAAAATTGCTATACGCAACGCAATTGTGGGCCTCGAAATGGAACAAGCGTAATCTTGGCCACACCTGAGGAAATGATTTCATCACAATCTAGTTAATAATGACGCTGGCTACCAGTCTCGGTAATGAAAACTATCACGTGTCATAAATGTCTATTTTTATTCGGATGATACCAATTTCGAAAACATGACGTATGACTCTTACGTCTCATATCCAGTGAATGCCGTTCCGTGACGACTTACGACAGGAAAACGGAATTCGCTCGGT